GTTTATCTGAAGCGTTGGAAACAGGCGAAGGCGACGGAGCGTGAAATTGAAGAGCAGAAGCTTCGGACAGGATAAATATTCTATATTGCTTGTCGGCAAATAATGAAATTCTCAAAAGTTATATCCCCACATGTATGTGTGTTTGTTTGTTTGTGTATGTATTTGTATGTGTATCTGCATGTATGTGTTTTTGTATGTATGTTTGTTTGTATGTGTGATTGGCTGTATGTGTGATTGGTTGTTTGTTTGTTTGTATGTGTATCTGCATGTATGTGTGTTTGTATGTATGTATGTTTGTTTGTATGTATGTTTGTTTGTATGTGTGATTGTTTGCCTGTGTGTTTGTTTGTTTATACTTGCGTTTGATTGTTTGTATCTACGTATATGTTTGTATGTGTGTGTGTATGTATATTTGTTTGTTTGTATGTATGTGTGTGTGTTTATTTTTTGTATGTATGTATTTGTGTGTGTTTGTTTGTATGCATGTCTAGGAGGGTATCTGGTTTATTTATTTCAAGTATAGCTGTCAAAGATAGCGTCTCTAGACTGTTAGTTTGATTAAAGTTAATTAGGATTATTGCTTATAACACCGATTCTGTATTCGGATGAATGAATAATGAATGAATGAATGAATGGATGGATGAATGAATTAATGAATGAATAAATGAATGAATGAGTGAATGGATAAATGGATAGATAGATGGATGGATGGATGGATAGATGGATGGATAGATGGATGGATGGACAGACGAAAAATTAATGAACAGTTGGATAAGTGAACGTTTGAAATGAATACAAGAACAAAATACGCTTATATATACAATACATACATATACAAACTGTAAAATGCATCATACATACAAAAAAACATCTACACATACAAACATACACCCACATACATACATACAAACATACATTCACACACAAGTACGCACATACATACATACATACATACATACATACATACATACATACATACATACATACATACATACATACAAAACATTCACTCAAACATACGTACAAACATATTTAATATCGCGAGCCATTAATAAATTTTGTGCAATTTATAAACTAGGCAAAATGTAATTGAAAAATAGGAAGAAAAATTCATTGGGAGAGTGTGATGTTATTTGTAAGGGTGAATGATAAATTGAGAGATATGAATAAAGTCTGGGGAGGGTGTTATATTGGATATTGATATTTTATATCCATTTTTATTTCTCCGTTCTTCCTTCTTTCTTTGTCTAGTTTGTATGAACGTAAGTATGTATGTATGAACGTAAGTATGTATGTATGTACGTAAGTATGGATGTATGTAGGTTTGTGTATGTATGTATGTGTGTATGTATGTACGTTTGTATGTGTCTGTATTATATGTTGTACGGACGAGTTTTTCATTCTACTCGACGACAGCATTCTTAAAATTATTTTAAATGAAAAAATGGAAGACAGAGATAGAGAAAAAGATTGAGAGCAAGAAATATAGGGAGAGAGAGAAAGAGAGAGAGAGAGAGAGAGAGAGAGAGAGAGAGAGAAAGAGAAAGAGAGAGAGATGGAGAAGGTAGGGAAAAAATAAAACTGACCATAAGAAAGATGAAAAATGAACGTCGAAGGCACTATATGACTAATATACAAACTACAACAACACACCACAACAAACAACTACTACTACTTCAACAACTTCTACTGCCACTATTACTACTACTACTCCTACTACTACAACAACAACAACTACTACTACTACTACTACTACTACTACTACTACTACTACTACTAAGACAACAACAACAACATCGACAAACAACGACGCAAAAACGACAAGCAACTCCATAAAATCATACAAATAATATGCAATTCAATTAAGTAGCACACACACAGACACACACACTTAAAAACACACACAAATACACACACACACACACAGATATGCAATTCAATTAAGTAGCACACACACAAACACAAACTTACACACGCACAAACTTACAAACACACACACACACACGCACACAGACAGACACGCACACATACATACAAATAACCAGAAGGAGAAGAAATCCCAAAGGAGTTTGATAGCAATCAGAGAGAACAAGGCAGAGTTAATCTAACCGGGCGCTCTAGCGTGAAATATTAATTCTAAAATAATGCACTGATGTATTGGCACTCTTGTTCGGCGAGTTTCTGACTTTCGTTCTATCATCATCTTCATTTTAGCTACACACGCACACGCACGCACGCACACACACACACGCACATACACACAAATTCCTGCACAAACTTATATACGTATTTTTTCAATGTTATTTTATTTAAAAACAAGTCTTCATCGGTTTTAAATAGAATGAATTTTTTTTTTTTAGGAATTTATTTGAAAAACAAAGAAAAACCATATTTGTCCAACAAGCATTCTTAATAATAATAATAATGAATAATAATAATAATAATAAATAATAATAATAAGTTGATCACAAAATTGGTCTGCTTAAATTTTTGTAACCTACGCCCACGCAGGTCAGGAGTAATTTGTCCTCGCCCCGACCTACGTCCTTGACCTCTCTGGGGTCAATCTTGAAGGTCACGCCAAAGAAATCACGTAAGTGACGTAGGTGGTGGATCCTGAGAAAAATTGATAAATGGATGGATGGTTGGATGGATGGATGGATGACGAAGTGGATGAATTGATGAATGAATGAATAAGCAAACGAATAAATAAATGAATGAATGAATAGATGGATGAATTAAAAATTTGAATAAAAACCTAAAAAAAAACTAACGTATAATCTGTTAATGGGCCGACGAGAAGTTTAGAAACATCTTTATCGTTGAGAACCATCAAGGTGCTTGCTAGGCACTGGTTGTTCGAATCAACACAACCACCCTGTAACCATTCATTCATTCATTCGTTCATTCATTCATTCGTTCATTCATTCATACATACGTTCATTCATACATTCATTCATTCATACATTCATTTATACATTCATTCAACCAACCATTCAATCCAGCAATCGATCAATCAGTCAGTCAATCATTCATTCATTTATTCATCAATTAATCAATCAGTTAATTCGCTCAATCAATCAAAAGTCTTTAATCATAAATATGACCAAACCAAAAAAAAACCTTCGAAATTTCTAGAAGTAACTTGATTGCAGCTTCTTTGCCAATATCTTCTGGAAGGCTTGGTCCTGATGATGATCCTAATATAAGAATAAATGAAGGAATGAATAAATGGATGAATGAATCAAGCAAGCAAATATACCAGTTAACAGACAACCAACCAAAAAAAACCAATCGGACCATCTTTCAATCAATCAAAATCCATCAAAAAAAAAGGGAAGAATAACATTAAGAGGAGCAAAACACATAACACAAAAACCTTTGGCATTGGACATTGCTTCACTGCAATAACACACTCCTGTCTTGGTTTCTGCAACTAAAGTTATACCAAATCCTGGAGACCTTGAGGGAATAATAATAAAAATTATTATTATTATCATAATAATAATAATAATCATCATCATCATCATTATCATGTTAGCCACGACTATAATCATCACAATTACCACCACCACCACCAGCACCACAATCACCATCAAAACCCAACAAACTTCCCAGCCGATGGTCCCTTCCTGTGATCCGAGGTTATGAAAACATCTGACAGCATGCAGCCACTAAGAACTTCCTTAGCTCCATCGGTCATCCTCTTACAATCAGCTGGCGACACCCGACAAGTCCAAGCCACACCCCTTATTCTCTTGACCAATAGGCTTGAAGGATTCAGATTCAACTGGAGTGATCGAAGTTTGGGCTTGGTCGGGCATGTGAAGTTAATTTCACCCCCAGCTTCTGGTAAGCAACCCCGTTTGTTGATCTGTCGATATTGTATCATGATACATATAGAAAAAATTGTTGATCTGTCGATTTTGTATCATGATACATTTAGATAAAGTTATAACCTAGTAGCAACTAAATTTCAATGTCTGGTTTAGAAAGAGAGACAAAATATTATTACCTAAAAAATTTAAAATGAAGTTCGCTTTTAAACTTTATTTTAGGTCAATCATTCAGATAACCATTCAAACAATGAATCAAATATATGAAAAATTGTTTAAATATTAAAGGTTAAGTTCACTTTTAAACTGAGGCCCTCGTCAGAGCCGAGAAACAATTTCAGGACGGGTAGCGTAGCGAACTGTATTGAATCGACCTACACAGTAATTTAATTTATTTTTACAAATATAAATATTTTTATTTTATTATTATCTTATTATTAAATTATTTTGATAATTTGGTTGTTAAAAATACATGAATAAAATCAAGAATAATAAATAAATAGAAATAAAAATAGAACAGAAATGGTTATGATAGCAAATGAATGAATGAATGAATGAATGAATGAAAGAATGAATGAAAGAATGAATGAATGAATGAATGAATAAACAAATGGAAAATGAAATAAACATAGCACCTACTGAGATGTCTTGTTGGTTATTAGTTACACCAGTAAGTGTGATGTCGAGAGGTTTTTTCATGAAAGGTGCCAGGTAGATCACTAATTCTAAATAGTAACCTAATCAGAAGTGACATTATAATATTATAATTATTATCTGAAAGTTGTGAAATAATTATTATTTTTATATATTGGCATAATTTTCTATTTGTATCACTTCTAATCCTCATATTAATTTAAACTTGAAAAAATTATACGGTTATTAAAATTAATTTAATTACCAATTCCCCGGCTAGTGTGGCAGTCGTGTTGGACCCTCCCTCCGTCAAGTAAGCCAGGATGATACGTCAGGCTGGTGGCTGTTTAAAAGTGAATTTAAATTTTAAAGTAAAATTGTTTTGTTGTTTTGTTTCAATTTACTGAAGCAGCAGCAACAACAACAGATAACAACAACAGCAGCAGCAGCAGTAGCAGTAGCAACAACTACAACAACAATAGCTCCCACTCTAACTTACTATCTTCGCTGAACATGATGGTTGCACCTTTACTGAGTTTTTCAACTAGTTTCATTAAGTCGACCTCGAAAGCTGTCAGTTTGTTAGTTTTTAATTAAATTATAATACATATTATTATAGTAAAATTATACATTTGTCGTCTACCTACGATTTTTCATTTTTAATCTATTAAAGATTCTTACACAGATTTGATTGAACAGAAGAAAGAAATAAAAAAATTATCAACTAAAATAATAAATAATTAAAAAAATAAAATATAAATTAATTAATTAAAATTAAAATAAATGATTAGATGCCAGAAAAAAATTAGTACAGAAATCAAGTAAAACGTCTCAACAAAACTAATATATTCAAAAAATATAAATTATATGTAAACAAATAAATCTAAAATTAAAATTTTATTATTAATTAAAATTAAAAAACTAGTTAAAAACTCACGTGAAACTCCAACTTTATCATCAAACTGACGGATTTTGTGAACCTTCAAAGAGCGGCCACTCAACGTAGCCAACAAAACTCTCTGTCTAAAAAAATTGCAACCTTCGTACGTCAGCATCTGTCCCTTGTTCGCCATTTTTTTATTAAATTTATTAAAGCTAAGTTGAAAAACATGCGTAGCGATATTGAGGCAATGTTTACATAGTAAAAGTAGAATTCCATTAACTGGTGCAGCTATTTAACTTCATTGACTTATTGGCTTACGTACAAAATTGCATGGGTTTCAATAAACAACTAACACTAAATATTTACTTGACTTTTTTAATATGTCTAATATATATGAATATATATAAATATATATGATGATATAATAAATATATATATATATTCATGGCTTCAACAAATAACTAATACTAATTGTTTATTTGACTTGATATGTTTAAAACATTGTAATTAATTTTTTCCAATTTAAATAAAATTACTGCTTTTTATTTAAAAAACACAGTGGCTTACCGTTTAATGAAGCCACAGATTGGCTAACCAAATTGTATCGATTTCAAAAAACATTTAATTCAAAATATGTTCTTGACTAAATATTTTTAAAACAAATAATTAAATCGAATTATGTAATTTGAAATTATTTTTGTCAATTTAAATGAAAATATTGCTTTTTGTTTCAAAAATACGGTGGCTAACCTACCGCTTAATAAAGCCATAGGTTAGCTTACTTACGAAATAGCAATATTTTCATTATAATTGACAAAAATAATTTCAAATTACATAATTAAAAGTTTTTTGGTTGATTAGTTGATTGTTTGATTGGTTAATTAAATGATGATTGATTGATTGGTTGGTTGATTGATTGGTTGGTTGGTTGATTGATTGATTGATTGATTGCTTGATTGATTGATTGACTGACCGACCGACCGACCGAACCGACCGACCGACCGACCGACTGACTGATTGATTGATCGATTAATTAAGCCAACAATCCATGCAATTAAAAGTGATCTCTAAAAACTGAAAAATTTTTGTGACATTGTAATAAAAATTATTTAAATTGTTTTTAAAACATATAAACAATTTTACTACTTCAAAAAAATTAAAAAATTAACAAAGTTTTTGGTATTCTAGCCATATATATCCATCATTAAAACTAAATAAAAAAAATTACTAAATGTTGAACGCTACGCAAATTAGTTTTTTGGTTGCTTCCTTTTCCTGCATACTAACTTCACTCTCAGTCATTTCGACTACAGTCATTTTGGGTGTATGTTCTCCGAGTTTCGTGATTTATTTTATTTAAATTGCTTGTATTAAGTTTTAAATGTGTAAAAATTTTTGTTTGTTTTCTTTTTTACATGTTTGTTTTGCTACTAAAATGTGTTTAAATTATATATTATTTGAAATGCCTAACTATTCTGACGTAAAACGTGTTGGTACGTTTTAACGCTTCGTACTGGGCAGATAAAATGGCGGAACACTTACCACAAGACATCCCCAACGTGGATGATTTTGTAAGTGTCGTTCCCATATTTTCTGCTCGTATATTCTCGCTTAGTGTTCATTAAATTTAAACTTATGATTTCAATTTTCTAGGCGTGATGTATTTATTTTGGAGAACGAGTGCAACACGATGAAGTGCCATTCAGTCGTATAGATAGTATCTGACCTAGATAATAAATTGTAAAATTCATGTTTTAATTCTATTATGGATTTATATGAATTTTTTTCGTTTTATCTTTTCTGCTAGCTGCCAAAAAATGAAATTTAAAGGATGACAAATATGACGGGCGGACAGAGAGATATGCAATCTATATCTACTGCTGATTGTCAACATTCTTTTCTGATTAAATTTCATTTTATTTTGTTAATAATTTATATGACTGAGTTTTGTATAATCACGGTTCTATTTTTTATTTATTTGTTAGTGTAAGTTCTGGTCGGCTTATGATGAACAACCTTAGAGCAATAATTCATGAAAACCTGATTGTTCATAATGATAGGACTGAAGCCACCAGAAAATTATATTACTTTTCACGAATTTGTATTATTTTAGATGAGACTGCTCCGGTAGTGAGTGGCATTCCACCTGCCGTGTTGAAGTTGTGCCCCAAAAATATGCCAGTCATCCACAGTTCGATTGCTACATTCACGAAATCAAAACCGCCTTCGAAATTAATGATTTTGAAGTAGTTTCATTCAAATAAAGTCACATTTACAAATCGTCTTGAAAATCAGTTTCACGAGTACAAATGCGTGAATAGGCGAACACGTGGCGTGAATGTGCAGCGTGATGTATGAATGGCTTGAGTTTTCTAAATTATCGACATCAGAATCATCAATAAAACTAATTTAAACGATGAGCCTATATAAATAAAATATAAATGTTATGTGTATGGTTTCTCAGTAAACTCCAGTGTTTAGAACTACACAAAATAGCAGGAACTGAACTATAGTGCTTGACCTTTTAAAAGACCGGCTAATGCACAAAACTAAAATAAATATAACGGCCTTCGCTCACTTTTAACAGTCGAACAAGGAGCTTACTTCCGGAAGAGATTTGGAGGGTGATTTATTATCGTTTTAGTCAAGAGTCGGGCTATTTGACATGCTTGGATTATTGGCTTACGAAATTGCATGGATTTTAACGAGCAAGCTATATGAAATATTTACTTGACTTAATATGCTTAAAACATTGTAGTAATTCTCTTTAATTTTATTAAATAAAATTATGATTTTATTAAATAAAATTATGATTTTATTAAATAAAATTATGTATTATTAAATTATTGTTGTTAATTTGAATATAAAAATTATACTTTTGGTCCTGTGAAATCCGGTGGCTTTTTACTGAAGCCGAAGGTTGGCTTAGTAGGATTGAACTAAAGTCACACTTTTTTACACTATTCGATCATGTTAAAAATTTGTTTGCTCATGAAATAAACGGCCTAAATAGATCAAAATTGTTATTTGAACAACTATCTTCATTATATTCAATGAATATTTTACATTCTGCTGGTGCTCATAGAAATTATGGTTGCTGAAATCATACGTTGGCTTACTGCAGTGGCTTACTGGGTCTCATACAACAGTGTCATGACGATTTTTTTTACATATAATGCTTTAAATAAGTCAATATAATCATTTCACAATTATTTTTGTCAATATAAATAAAGAAATTGCTTTTGTCTGGTAAAATACAGTGGCCAAGTAAAGCCGTATGTTGGCTTAATCGGATTTTTTTTTCATATATACAATACTATGAGATCAATCAATCAACCAACCATTTATTCAATCAACTAATCAACCAAACAATCGACCAATCAATGAACCATATTTGAAAAATATTTGCAAGGCTTGTTCAAACTCGAACAAACACTTAACTGTACAGATCTACAATTTCGAGATTTTAGTAAAGAAAGAAAAACACAATAGTTGCTTTTATTAAATCAAGAAATATCCAAAATTTATATAACCAAATTAAAAACTAGAAACCAGTCAACATTTAATAAATAATTAAATAAATAAATAGACATTATTAAAAAGATTGTTCAAAAAGGTAAAATTTAAGGCGACGACGAGAATAAAATGTAGTTTGTTTTGTTGGTGTGAGGCTGTGAAGCGAAAACAAACACATCACAAAAAAATAGTAAAAAGTCGCAAGAATAGTAGTCAGTCACCTACCTACAATTAAATTACTCTCAGGGCCCTAGCTTACTTATAATCATTAACTCAACTCACCTACCTACAAATATGTTTTTCTACGTTTTTGGAATTTTACATGTTTTAGGTATTTTATTTTACATATTTCAGCGTTTTTATTTTACTTGAAACTTTTTAACTAATGTTAAGCCCTAGCCTACCTACGATTGTTCAACTCATCTCAATCCCTAACTTACCGACGAATTAAATTAAGTCAGGTAAAGAAAATAGAAAGTTGAAGAAAAACATAACAACGACACCGAATGAATGGATGTTGTGTATGTATGTGTTGTATTGATGTGTGTATGTAAATGTGCGAGCGCGCACTCTCCAGAAACTTCACTCACTACCGACAAACCTCCATTGCACCGACCATCATCTGGCACGCATCGATGGAATGAATTTGACCGGATACTGAAAAATAAATTGAAAAAAAAATTAATTCACTAAAATAAAAAACAAGCAATTGGAAAAAAAAGCAACTTATCTTTTTGAGATAACACTCAATCTTTGTTCAAATTCGAGTACTTTCAAAGGTACAATGAGACAGAAACAAATTTACCTTTAACATTATCTTCGATTTGTCATCGGAACGATCATCACGAGACCACTATCTGAAACGTGCTGATGCCCACCACAGCCCACCTCTCATCATTCTGTAGACATTTTTTTAATAGCGTATTAGTAAATCAAGGAACAAAGGAACGATCGAATAAATGATTAACTGAATGATTGAATAATTGGTTAAATGAATGAATTAATTAATTAATAAATCAATGATTCAATTAATGAATAGAATGAATTAACGAATCAATTAATAGAAGAATAATTTAAAAGGTTGAGTGATAAAATGAACGAATGAGAAAAATAAAAAACGATACTAAACCTTACTTCAAAAATCGTCGTTACTGTACTCTCCATTGCACCGACCACCACCATCTGGTCGGCACACAAGATACCATCCGAATTTCAGAGTGTCAGTCGAACAGCCAACGAGCTGATACTTCCTACACCACCATCATCATATGTAAATCATCATGAGACCACCATCTAAAACGTGCTGACTCCCACCACTGCCCACCTCTCAACATTCTGTAAACAAAATTTTTTTATTTGCGTAGTAGTAAATGAATGTTAGAATCTTAGAAGCCAAAAAAATTAAATTATAAAATGAAAATAATGTCAAATAAATAAAATTTTAAAATAATAAAGTAAGTAAAATGTAAAAAAAACTTACCGTCGTCCATTCGACAAAACTGGTGCCAGTCTTCCTCGAGATTGTTGTTGAAACACAGCCCGTGTTGATGGAGAAAGATAAAGAGAAGATTCTCATCAGAAAGCTTAGCGGTGCCTGCATCTCAAATTGCTTAATAAAAATAATCCTATCTACCTATTCAATTACCTTAACTAATATATATTAAATTGTTAATGGTACGATAGTCGAAAGTCCCCCTTCATTCTCCCTCCTTGCACAGAGGTTCACCGACAGCCAGGGCACCGGATAGTAAACCATTGCCGTGCGGATAGTAGACTATTGCCGTGCGGATAGTAAACCATTTGCCGTCCGGAAGCCGTGCGGGTAGTAGACTATGGCCGTGCCGCATAGTAAATCATTACCGTGCAGATAGTAAACCATTGCCGTCCGGATAGTAAACCATTGCCGGTTCACCACTGGCCACCAAGGCTTACCTCTGACAAGGGACTTCGAAATTCAGAGTCTATCGGCTATCGTACCCTCAACTTACCTATTCACTACAATTAAGCCCTAGCTTACCTAATTTTACAAAACTCAAGAGCCCAATTCATTGGCCTTTCGGCACCCACCCCACCACCTACGTAATGCCTTGGGCTCCAACTTAGTAATAATAATATAAAACTTAAACCCTAAATCTATTAATGAGTATGTTACAACGTAGCCTTAACCTACCTATTCATTAAATTATGGCCCTAGCTTACCTAAAATTACAAAACTCAAGAGTCCAATTCATT